AAATCACTGATGCAAACACATCTCTGAATGTAACACTTGCAAACAGAGTTTCTTCCCCCCAAAAACCTTAGGAGAAGGGGAAAGATATAAGAGCGGGGTGATTTGCAGTTCTTCCTGACAGACCTCTCATGTACCCGTTAATAGAACAGCGTATTCCAATTAAGCTGGCTATGGTTATAGCAGATGGCTTTTTACAATGTGAAAAGTCCATAAACTAAGGGCCATTTATAGCTACTTTCCTCCTAAAAATTCACATTCTTTTATGAGCAGACTCGTACTTTTTCCCCCTTCCCCCATTTTTTGTTGAACTTCTTTCATTCTTTTAAAAAGTGAATTTAAGATTTGCAAGGAAGCAAGTACATAGACAGACAGCACTAAAAACGGGAAGGCCTTTAATCATCCCTATTAAGCAACTCTGGCAGTGGAAATGCTTCCCATGGTTATTTGCTGAAATTAAAGCACCCAGAAGGAGTCTAGCCTCTCACACACTTGCATCCAAAATGGCATCAACAGGAACACAAGAACAACCCCACAAACTGAATTTGCAGGGTTGTTTATTTTATTTTTTTGCGGTACCCACTTTTTAAAATTCTGTTGCCCATAGAATCCCAAGATCCTTCTCAGGAGCAAAAGATATTCCAGCTGTTCTAGGCTGTACTTGATTCTTTGCTCGTCTGCTGTGACTGCAGACATACAGAAGTCCTGACAATGGAGATATCCCTCACAGGACTTGACAGTTTTGCTCAGGAGGGTGTGTGGCTGTGAATGTTCAATCCCCAGCATCTCTGATTCATTTTGGGTCTTGATCAAGGCTAAGGCTTCAGCCTCAGACCTTGCACAGCCTCACCCAATCAAAACACTGAACTAGATGAACCAATATTCTGACTCAAGTCTCATGCTGCCTGGAACTTAGCAATGGAACACAAAACAAAATCTTTTGCCAAAAATCTGCACTGCTTTCCCCCTCTCTACACCTATCTGTTCCTTCCTACTTTGTCCACAGATTTTCTGCACATCCAGGATGGTTAAAGAGCGTTTCTTTCAAAGCACACATAAGAATCTGTCTTATTAAAAGGCATTGGAACATTAGTCCTCCTAAATCAGAATTATCTAGTAGTGTCTATTGCCCAAGGCATGGGCTAACCACACTCCAGCTGTTGCTGGACTCCAACTCATAAGAACATAAGAAAAGCCTGCTGGATCAGGCCAATGGTCTATTTAGTCCAGCATTCTGTTCCTTACACTGGTCAACCAGAACCCTGTGGGAAGCATGCAAGCAGGACCTGAGCACAAGACCACTCTCCCCACTTGTGATTTCCAACATCTGGTACTCAGAAGCATTATTGCCTCTGACTGTGGAGGCAGACCATAGCCATTGAAGTTAGTAGACATTGGAGCCTTCTCCATAAATTGGTCCACTCTTCTTTTATAGCCATCCACTGGCAGCTTCCCACCCACACCAGGCAAAGGTCAGAGGTGATGGGAGTTCAATGGGGATTGAACATGGAACCTTCTGTATGCCAAACAGGTGCTCTACCACGGAGCTACAGTCCTCCTCCACTTATAAGCACAGTTTGGATTTGGATTTGATATCCCGCTTTATCACTACCCTAAGGAGTTTCAAAGCGGCTAACATCCTCCTTTCCCTTCCTCCCCCACAACAAACACTCTGTGAGGTGAGTGGGGCTGAGAGACTTCAGAGAAGTGTGGCTAGCTCAAGGTCACCTAGCAGCTGCATGTGGAGGAGCGGGAGACACGAACCCGGTTGCCCAGATTACGAGACTACCGCTCTTAACCACTACACCACACTGGCTCTCAGTGTAGAGTTAAGGATGCAATTCCTACATTATGTTTTATATCTACATATACAATATACCGGTGTTTAAGTAGCAAAACAAGCAAGCAGTATTGCCAATGGTGCATAGCATGCCAGTATTTAAGTGACTGGGTTTCCCTCCATTAAGCATCAAACTTGTGGCTGGGAAAGGAACTGGCTTCAGTGTTTACTGCAGAGTAGCCCGGACATTTAAATGCACATGCAGCTTTCAGGATGATGCATGTACTTTATAATTTAAACCCAAAACCGTTTTTCTTGCATCCAGGTTTCAAAAATAAGGTGTGCATGAACTCTAAACTGAGTTTCTGACTATTTGAGAAGAGATTAATTAATCCAGAGCAGAGAGAGAGAGAGAGAGAGAGAGAGAGAGAGAAATAGGGTGTCATCTTGTGCATGTGCAAGACCAGGAGAGAAAGAATTACTGGCTCTCCAGCTTATCCTCCTTCTCACTTTGTATAGCTGTTGGCACCAGCCCAAGACTGCAGTGCAGAACGCGTGCCTGATTCCAATCAGATCATGTTATTTTGGCAATGCCCAGAAGCTTTTATGCATAAATGGATTTGTCCCAACAATAATAAAGATTTGGGAAGTTCTCACTAGTAGTTAGCAAGTGTGATGTCACCTGCTTTTGCCTAACGAGGAAATTATTTGGGGGCAACAAGCAATAAAATGCCAAATGCACATTCTATTTTTCTTTATAAAAAAAAGAAAGCTTCCGCATTTTCTTCTAATGAGGATTTTTAACAAACAGTTCCCTGCAAATTCAAACCCACAGAGACTGTAAATGGAAGGAACTGTTGCTTGACTCTGCCTGAGCAGTTTAACCAGCCGAGACCCTGCCAAGGCAATCGCAGGTTACACCAACAGAAATAAATTCCAAACATTTTGAATAGGATAAATTAATAAAATTTATCCTATGGCTTACTGGCATTTTTTTTTAGTTTTATATACATAGACTAGACTAATTTGATGGACAGCAGCATTAAAGCCAAGGTGGTGGTGGGGGTTTGATTCTGACTCAGTGGTTCAGTTCCTTATAATGCCCTACATCCGGGGGTCAACTCTGACAGGTAGGTGGGACATTCCACCTCTCAATCACCCAGCATCATTAGGACATCAGATGACTGACAGGAGGGCTGTTCCGCTCACCTGTCAAACTCTATTGGGCAGAGCTTCCCAAAAACCTGGCAGCCAGCAGGGGTTTGGGAACCACAACACAAGAACTTTGCTGCTCCAGTGTCACCGAGCAGCGTGAACTGAAACCACTGCTAAAATGGGGCTTTCTCTGGTTCAGTGTAAACTGCTTGGTGCTATTGGGAGCAAGGCACACTCCCCCTGCCCCTCAGCTGATTGGGAGGGTGCCTTGAGCTAGCAAAGGAACAATGGGGAGCTCTCTTTAAGGCCCCGAGTGTACCTTTGTAGCCACATCAATACCTACCTCACACCAGATGTTAAAAATTATATCAGGTGCGGAGCAGGTGGGTGTGGTTTATGGGAAAGTGCCCTGGTGGGCCAGATTTGGCTCAGGGGCCAGAGGTTCCCCATCCCAATATTAAAGGAAAGGAGGGAAGGAAGATGAGAGCCAGGAGAGAGAGAGTGGTAGGGAAGCTCTGAGTAACAGGGAGGAGAAGATCCACCCACCCCAGGAACCCTTAAGGACAGAGGGCTTGATCGGTCCACAAGCATTACTCTACAACTGTGAAGAAGCATGAGACAGCATGTAATCTGACATCTCAAGGGATTTCTGGCAGACTAGCACAGTCTTTGTAACTGGACTCAAGGCCAACCCTACCATTAAGCAAGCTGAAGTGGGAAATGTCAGCAGGGAGGTCTTGGAGGCAATCCCCCTCAGCTGCTTCTCCTGAGTCATTTCCCTAAATTAAATGATAGGATTGTGCATGCTCAATTGGGCCCCTCAACTATCCTGCTACCACAGGAGGGGTGGGGGAGGATGCAATCCGATCACCAGGCTTCTGAAGGCAAACTAGGGATGGGTGACTTCTTGCTCTGCAACTTCAGCCAGAAAAAAATACTGAGCAGGCTCCCCATCTATTTATCCATTTGATTCCATTTCTGAATTGCTTCCTAGAGTTTTCCAGGCAAAACAAAAAACGAGGAAAGCCACTGGAAGAGTATCACCCTATTCACCAGTCTAAGCCAAATGAACACTGTGACAACTTCCCCACGTGAGTAAAGTTCCATTATTTATACACAGAGAGTTACGGATCACATTTCAGATTGTATATATGAATGACATATACTTTCCACCAGCTTCAACTGGTACACACCAGCTGCAAACATTCCTAGACCAGTCTAGTCTACCATGCTTGGGTAACCTGAAGACTTGATTACTGACACATGCCTTATGTGGGGCTGTCCTTGCATCCAGTCCAAAAGCTGCAACTCCTGCAGAACGTAGCAGCCAGATTCCTCACAGGAGCAGGTTACCGGCAGCAAGTTACTTCTTTACCAAGAGAGTTGCATTGGTTGCCAATTTGCTACCAGGTCAGAATCAAGTTTATTTTGTTAATTCACAAAGCCCTAGACAACTTGGGCCCAAAGTAAGGCCTTGAGGACTGCTTCATTCCTTAAGCCCATCTCAATCATAGAGACTTTCTGATGGGGCACTTTTGGTGGTCCCCTATTCCCCTGCAGTTCAGTTGGCCACAAACTGAGACATGACTGTCGCAGGCCCTGCCCTGTGGAACTCCATGCCAATACAATTTCAATACAAGAGCAATGCCTACTTTCTTTCAAGCTGCATTGTTCAGAGAGGCCTTTGACACTTGTTTTTTTAATTTAAAAAAAATCAACCTGTTTTTTACTGTTATGTTATCAAGGTCTTTCCTGCTGTTACTGTGGTATTGTGTTTTTGTTTTATTGTTGCATACCAAAAGTGCAGTTTACAAATGACTGAATAAATAAAGAGAAACACACACACACACACACACACACACACAGCCTGACATAAACACACAGAATGTAGTGCCGTGTGACATGCATGGCACAAAAGAGCTGAGAAAGGAAAGGAAAAGCATGCACAGTGAACAGAATGGACAGAACCACTTCCACCACCACCCCAGCCCAGCCAACACACTCTTGCAAAGAACAAGAAAAGACAGACCATCACCACCACTAGAGATTGCGTTTTGGACCCACTCACTGTTGGCGGTGTGGTTCCTGCTACTCCCCGCTGGTGCTGCCGTGTGCTCGGGTGCCCCTTCAGAGGTGGCCCTTCCTGACATTGAATGGGAAAACGAAAAGGAAGGATGCAGAGAAAAGAAGGGGGGGAGGCGAGGTGGAGGGGAGGACGAGAGCAAAAGATGGCAAGAGAAAGGAAAGGGAGCATCTTTAACTGAACACTAACAGCATAACAAGAACACACAGTTAAGAATACAGAAGGGCCTGAGATCCCCAAACAGAACAAACGGAAACTAAACTACATTTGATTGTTAAGAAATAACTTCCCCTTTCCCCCATCGTTGGAACAAGACACAGAATATTTCTGGACATCAGTCTTATGCTAGTCCAGTGAAAGGTTTCACATAATCCAGTATTTTTCTTTAAAAAAATAAACAAATTGCCATCTTCCTTTGCAGCTGCAGCTTGAATTCAAGAATCATCAAATTGCAGAGTTGGAAACGACCCCAAGGGTCATCTAGTTCAATCCTCTGCAATGCAGGGTGACAGACAAAGGCACCAAGTTCAAAAAAAGCACTGAATTGAAGCTATGGTTGCAGATGCCCCAATTCTTCCTTGGCATCAAAGGCTTGAATTTCCCCAGCCCTGACATTACATGCTGGACATGGTTCAACATGGCAGGCCAAATCCAGAGGCTTGGTTGGGCCTAATCAACACAGGTTCCCACAGTGCTGAGGTAACAGAAATTTAGCAAGCCACAAAGTGAGCTGGGAGTATCAGAGGAAAGGCAACCTCTTGAAATGTGCATTTTTCAATTTATTTCAGCTCCACACAGCTAATTCTTGGCATGTTTGGGGGAAGCAGTAAGCCTATTGCTTTTGCTCCTGCTTGCACGGAAACACAATCTGGCCACTGAATGAGCTTCTGTGATGTCACAGAATGTCCATAAGTATCATAACTCCCCGGGGGAGGGAGGCTTAAGTGTAGCTGACAGACAACAGAGCTTCAACACTTCAGACAGGAAAGTTTCCCTAAATGTAAGCATGTTGGTGAAGAAGTCACTAAGTCTACCTGTAAAGTGGGTAATTTGCACATATGCTTCTGTGATGTGGCTCTGGAAGGGCAGAACATGCAACAACCTCAGCAACAAGCATTCTCTAATGAGCTAAGGTTACTGTTGCAGGGCTGCCAACCGGCAGCCCTACAGACTTTTACATTGATTGTTATGAATCATTAAACCTGGGTTGGGGAACTATGCCCTGCTTTGGGGGCACTGTTCTGTATGCCACCAGAGCCACATCTCTCTTTGCAGAGGACCCTGCTCTTGCCACAGACCTCATCATTTTGGCACCATATAACACCAGCAGTTGGAACATCTTTCTGTCACCTGAGCAACGGGCTGCAGTGCCGCTTCAGACAGGCACTATATAAATCCATATTTTATTGTAAATATCTCCATACAGTGCTGCCTTGATCTCGATATGGAGGCAGTAATCCAGGCTTAGCTCCGTTAACACCGCAGAGCCCCATTTACACACAACCTGCACAGACCGCCGAGGGCAGGTGCTCTTTCAAGTCCTCCTCGGTGCTTTCAAAGCGGCCTTTTTAAAATGCAAGGGCACCCCTCGACTCGCAGGGAACAGTGACATTCCAATGCCCTATATTACAAGCCGTGTCTGCAGGCCAAGCAAAGCTGGCTTTTCCGTCTTCCTTGACTAGCAGTGATTAAACTTTGGGGCCAATGCATTATTTGTTATGCCCTTTGGATTTCTAATTCCTGCCTTGCAATTCAGTTCATAAATAGTTACACCAAGACAGGCCATTTAAAAACACAAAGACCAAAGAAGCCTCAATTAACATCTTTCCACACGTTTGGAATTGTGGGGGGCTTTGTGCCATTTTTTTTTTAAATGCACACGGATTTGAGAGTCCCAGTGTTTTCTTTAAATATATATCTTAATCATCTTCCACGTTCGCATAGCCAGTTAAGCTGCTTGGCCTCCTATACCTAAGATCAAGCGATGCAATTTCCATAGCAACAATGGTAGCACTTGAAAGATGTAGGGAGCTGTGTTGATCCATGGGGGGGGGGGAGAACAAGCGTCACAGTTAGGTAATTCTAATTCCTTTAGGACACCTGCAATACTGCAGAATAGTGAGCTATGGTTCCATTCAGAAGGATGGATGTGGAGAGAGAACAAGGCACGATGGAGTCGCTGCAAAGTCTGGAGACTGTAAAGTCTTGAGATGGGATGCAGGTGATGTTAGGCAAACCTAACTGCATTAGTCTGTCCTAGGTGCAAAATGATTTCAGGATGCAGAGGCTGCTAGGGCAAAAGAAAGAGTTACACACACACTCACCCTGCCCATTTAGAAAAAAAGAGCAATAACTTGGGTATTTCCTCCCTCCCATTCCCTGTTTTGCTTAACAAAGGAACCTGAAGAACCATTCTGGGAAACTCAGTAAGCTGGCTCCCTGCATTTTTGTTTGTCTCGGGACTCCTCCTCATATCTGTAGATCTTTGCACATTTAACAAGTTACCAGGATTCTTTGGGTAAGCCAGGGGTCAGCAAACTTTTTCAGCAGGGGGCTGGTCCACTGTCCCTCAGACCTGGTGGAGGGCTGGACTATATTTTTTGGGGGGGCGGCGAATGAACGAATTCCTGTGCCCCACAAATAACCCAGAGATGCATTTTAAATAAAAGCACACATTCTACTCATGTAAAAACACCAGACAGGCCCCACAAATAACCCAGAGATGCATTTTAAATAAAAGCACACATTCTACTCATGTGAAAACACGCTGATTCCCAGACCGTCTGTGGGCTGGATTGAGAAGGCGATTGGGCCAGATCTGGCCCCCGGGCCTTAGTTTGCCTACCCATGGGGTAAGCCATGGCTGTTCACATAGTATAAGGGCATATGGTTTGGTGCGGATGTGACCTAGGACTGCAGCCAGGGAGGGGGGTGTTCTGCCTTAACAATCTTGAACTAACCAATTTGGATTAGGTTGTACTCAGAAAAGGTAGCTTGTAACGCCAGAACCACTGCAGGCTGCTGATGGTGGAGGGACATGTTTAGCAGGGAGAAAGGGGAGAGAGAGAGAGTGAGAGAGAGACAGATGCACATCACTTCAGTCAACCTCTAGACAAATTAAGGCCAGAACATTTTTAGAACTTAAAAGCTTCCTTAGGCAGGAAAAGACAAGATGGGGGAAATATTGCTGACAGGAACATAGACAGTCACTTGACGGGTGCCCATCATTCTTCTTCTTCTTTTTTATTTTATTTTTTAAAAAACCTCTCTTATTCTTCAAAAGTTAAGAAGGGCAGTGAAGAGAAAATGATGCAACCAAAACCACAATAAATACTGAACTTGGGGCAAAATGAGACAGCAGTTGGTTCTATTGTTAGGCACCCATCTGCCTTGGAACCCTCTCTCATTACTGGAGGCCTCTCCTCCTGCCGCAGGCGAAAACATAGTCAGCAGGGCTTTCAGAGAAAAGCTCCAGTGACCCCCATGGCACAGGTCAGGTGTCAGAAAGAGACAGCCATCCTACTGATTTATATTTCATGCATTAAGACACATCTACAAAAAAAGCCCCTGCAATGACTTAGAGCACAGTGGTTTATATTTTGCAATGTACTGTCTGTCTGGATTTCTTTTTGGCATCTGTTGGATGTTCATACAATCAGTTGCTTCTATTTCATTATTCTGATTGTTTCAATCTCAGCTTGCCCTCCACTGAAGGCCCACAATGGGTAAGCTTTTTTATTTATTTATTTAAACAGATACTTACAAACCTTCATTGTTGTTGATTTTTTATCCAACAGGGCATTAAGTTAAAGTCACTTAGTTTTATATTTGTCCCACTGGTTTTTGCACCGATGGAACGTTGTTACACAAGAGAATGTATAAAAGCAAGTTGCTGGTAACTTTGCAGTCTATTGTGCAACCATATGTTGCACAATGGGTTTCTACTAGCAGAACTATTGTGTTGTGCAACTGGTGTTGTGGCCTCTGTTGTGTCATATTAAAGCTCACCTATCTGCTCACAGGGACGCGGGTGGCGCTGTGGGTTAAACCACAGAGCCTAGGACTTGCTGATCAGAAGGTCTGCGGTCCGAATCCCCGCAACGGGGTGAGTTCCCGTTGCTCGGTCCCTGCTCCTGCCAACCTAGCAGTTCGAAAGCGCATCAAAGTGCAAGTAGATAAATACTTCTCTGACGGGAAGGTAAACGGCATTTCCGTGCGCTGCTCTGGTTTGCCAGAAGCGGCTTAGTCTTGCTGGCCACATGACCTGGAAGCTGTACATCGGCTCCCTCGGCCAATAAAGCGAGATGAGCGCCGCAAGCCCAGAGTCGGCCACGACTGGACCTAATGGTCAGGGGTCCCTTTACCTTTACCTTATCTGCTCTGCTCTCACACTAGAGGACAGATAATGTTGGATACAGCCCTAAGGGGGGCGGGGAGGAACCTTACAGAAAGATTTAAGAAGAAAAACAACAATGTTAAACAGAAACCCCAAATACTAAGCCAAAGCAATCCTTATTAAGCATGATGCAGAAAATAGGCTGCTAATGGGTTATTCACTGAATCAAATTAATCTAATAAATATCTATACTGCTTTTTCAACACAAGTCTTCTGAATGTAGTTTATAATAACATTTTGCGGGGTGTGGGGTGTTTAGAGTTTTTTTCTTCTTCTGAGAAAAGCAAGCTAAAACGTTTTGGAATGAATGAATGGAACCTAGTCCAACCTCCCCATCAGCTGTAGGTTTGCTGGTGATATGGACAATGAGCACCAACACAACAAAAATGGGCTGTGGATAAACGCCAGTTTCATGGTTTTGTTTTCCAATATAAGAACCACACAGGGAGGTGAAGACTGGGGCAAAATGAGACACCTAAGCCAAAATTCTTGCACCCACCCAACCCCGTTTCATAAAGAAGTCTTCCCCAACCTGGTGCCCTCTGAGAATTTTGGATTTCCCTAATTCCATCAGCTCTAGTCAGCCAGTTTCCTTATTTTCCCAGTCTTAAATTCAGTTTTCCACATTTCCATATCAGTTCATTTAAAAAAAAAAACTCATGAA